GCAGCTGGAAACAAACCCCAGGAGCTGACCCATGGCATCATTACACATTTAAACGGTTCACTTCCGCCTGCAGCAACCGCATCACCCGCACCACCTGCTCCACCTGCACACTCCGCACGGCTCCCCCACCTGCCTGGCTGCCTGCGTTTGTCTGGCATTGGAAAAAATAAATGTATATATAAAAATAAAACGTATCCAGTTATTGGCATGAAATGCGCATCTGGTTACGGGAAATGCTCGTAAATGTATTTTAAATTTAATGTCCGTCTACATTGTACTTAACAGGGACAAAAGAAGCAACCTTTAACTGAGTATAGAGTATGCCATTTGCATTGATTTCTTGATTTAACAAGACAATCTAACAAGCTTAGGACTTGGTAATCGCAGCATTGATAATGCATACTAAGAGTCATATTTTATTTAACACTATCATATAAAGTTTGCTTAACTTTATAAAAAATAATTTTTCAATAGAATTTAAGTTCTGAACAAATCTCTACATGATAACATAAATAGTAATTATAAGCTGAATATTAATCAACGATATAATTTATTTATTTGGTAATTAATTTGCAACTTTTGTAATAAGTTGTGTTAGGCGATGTTAAATATAATTCCTATGAATCTCTGGAGCCGTTAGTTGGGTGATAATATATATAATTTTAAAACGATATACAAATAAATAGGCATTCGTTCTCTTATCTATGTTGTCCGGGTTAAAATTGATAGTTAATCAATTACCACAAAAGTTGGACTAGAACTAACAACAAATTTAGGAATTTCTGCGCTATATTTCTTGGAGAGAAGTTAAAACTTTAAATAGAAGCCAAATTAGGGCCACATCATCAATTTTTAATATATTTGCAAATACAGTCAGACAGAAAGACATATGGATAATTGGGTGGATAGGCGGATAAATAGAAATGCAGACAGATGGAGGGTCATGATATGCAGCTACATAAAGATAAAGATAAATATACAGAAGAGGAAATAATTATATACACGGATGAATTACAGGACAGTCCGGTAAAATTACAAATCGATAAGCGGGCGGATAAACTATTATATAGCAGAACGTTTGGGCAGTCGGTTAAAATAATAGTTGAACAAAAGAATAAGCAGATGTACCAAAAAAAAAAAAACGTTTAATAACATACATATTAAACAACGTCTGCATGGAGGACATATAAACTTATAAAACGACTTATCTATTCGTCCGAGCTTCTGCTTTGTAAGCATTCAAAAGGATTGATAGATAAATTAACGAACTAGACACATTTGTCCATTATAAGCAGAAAAGCAAACGAGTTGACAGACGGAAGAATAAACGGATAAACAGATGGGTTAATTGCCAGTTGGATAAATGGATAGACAGAAGCTCAATGTGCAAACTTCATTAAACAATTGTAATACCCTCTGTTGGGCTTAAAACGGAAATAATAAGAAATGCTCTAATACCGTATACCTATGCACATAATACTGTATTTTAGGGGGTTTGTTTTAAACGCCAGTCGCACCACAAGGCTCCCATTAACAACAATAAGCAGCCAAAATAAACAAAATAACAACAACAAGAACAACAACAAAAACAAGAATTGTAATGAGCAACGCGACGGTCGCATCTCGCGATAATTATGTATGAAGCAATTATTTCGCATGTCCAGCAACAGCATCAACAAAAAGGGAAAGCAACAACAACAAACTCACACACGCGCGCACACACACATACACACACACACACACAGGCAGACAGGCAATAAGTGTTGTTGGGGTTTCTACGTGCGATCCACACAAATTGAAACGCGACGAGGCTGGCAACAATATGATGCTGTTGAACGACAACAACAACAAACGAGTTAAATGCCTGACTGACGTCTATAATTATAAAGCGGGCAAAAACAACAACAGTTCGCGCGAAATTTAAGCACGTGCTGCTATTTTGTGTTAATGATCGACTAGGAGATACCTCTTAGGCAACAATACATGCTGAATTTGACATCGCTGGCAACAAAAGGCCAAGACTGATATTTATTAGTTTATGGAATGTGTGAGATGTTATCAACAATACTTGTATCTGCAATACTATACGATAACTTTCCGTATATACCAAAAAAAAACAGGACTGAAGTTCGATATTTATCGATTTATGGGCATAATAAGAATCTGTATCGAAATTAATTAAAATAATTAAACAAATATCGATTTTTGTCGATTATGGGAATGAAGATGGCGTTATCCACAGTATTTTTGATCTTCATAAATCAGGACTAAAAAACGATTATTTTCGACTTTAGGCAACAACAGACGCATTATCAATAATAATTTGGATCTAAGCATACCATCTTTTATCTTTTATGCTCGAAAGTTAAGGACTGAAAACCGAATCGTATCAATTTTACAAAATATAACGTTAGCATAATTTTGTTTTTCGATAAATCCATACAGACAGACGAAGAGAAAGACAGACAGATAGATCGACTCGATATTTACTCAATATACCCTTTCTTGAAAAACACTCTCAATACAGGGTATAACAATACAACCCGAAAAAAATTAAGTGGAAAATGTGTATAATTAAGTCGCCAGCCCAAAAGTAGGCAATACAAAATACCCCAAAAATACCCACAGCTCAACAGAGCGTACGATGGAGTGGGAAACAGGGAAGGGCAAAGAGGGAAAACACAGTCAGCTGTAATTGCATTTGTATTTGTATTTGTATTCACTTGTATTTAGTATATTTTATTTACAAATCGGATTTTTTTATTGCCCACGCTACAACATTTTTATAAATCGAAATATACAATTTTCCCCACAGGATTTCCCTCACAAGCGTAAATATTATTCACTTGCATATATATTTACTTTTATACAATTTTAAGCATGTGTGAGTGTGTTTTTCTGTAAGTGCATTCTAAGCTGATTTTTATGGCTCTGTCAGTTTGTTTTTACTTCCTTTTCAAAAGTATTTTCGCAAACGTTTTTGTGATGTCTCTTAATTTGTTCCATTGTAATATATTTTTCTGATATATATAAAAAACACTTATAGATCACTTTTAAAATTTAAAAGTGTTTGGAAAGTGTGCAATTTTGCATTAATTTTTATTTTTACGTAAGAGTGCAAATATTTAATTTAAAACAAGTAAGAGGTTCTAGTCGGGAGCTCTCGACTAGGGGATACCCTGAACCCTCTTCTTCCAACATCAAATGCATATATATATTCTATTTTAGATGCTATATGTCAAATTTGGTGACTCTAGCTCTTATTATTTACCAAAATGGCCCAAAAAACAGGATATCGATATCGATTTTGCTTGGAAACTGAGTAAGTTATCGATTATCGGAAACAAACTCGATCTGCGCGGGAACTAGGAGCACCTACATCTAAAATTTCGTCTCTAGCTCTTATAGGTTCTGAGATCCTTTGACTCATACATACGGACGGACGGACGGACGGACATGGCTAGATCGACTCGGCTATTGATGCTGATCAAGTATAGAATAGAATAGAATGGGGTCGGAGATGCTTCCTTCTGCCTGTTACATACATTTGGCTTTCGCACAAATACAATATACCCTTATACCCATTTTTAATGGGTTCAGGGTATAAAAATATTTTCGCATTCATTATCGCTTGATATTTATATGCACACAACTTTCCAAATCACAAGCTGAAATCGATTTTTATCGATGTTGGGGTAATAGGAAGAGTTATTAAATTTGGATAGGATCTGCCCGGCCTGCCACTAATATTTTCTCGGCTGCAATCTACCCATTTCTGCCAACTTTTAAAAATAAGCACAGGACTTCAAAGCAAGGAAAATCCGCAATAACAACTTAAGCCTCTTGAATAATGTATTGAAAGCAGCTTTAGACATTTAATTGCTTGTCATTAATTTTTCACCTTTAACACTTTATTGCTTTATTTAATCCCCGATTTTGCTTTGTGTACCTCACGCCGTCAGTATTTGCTTATTGTCATTATGAAAGTGCACAACGTGTCCTCATATAGATGGGAAATACCTCCCTCTGTTTTTTATACACACTTCAGATTCACAACACCTGACCTGAATTGAAGGGTTCAGGTCAAATGCCAATTGTAATGCCTGAATTATGTAAGGGCACGGAAGGCTTGGGACACAAAATTGCGTTTGAGATATATAATAATTGCTGTTAGGCTTACCAGACTTCCTAGGTAACGAAAAACGTTGCCAACTCTTGATAAGTCCCGAACATATGTATGATAAGCTTCACTGACAACGTCTTCAAATCCAGAGCTTCGTCCAAAACGGCGACGAAGACTCCTGATAACGTGAACCATGAAAAGTTCAATTCGAAGGGGTACTTGCCGCTTTTACAACAGTTCTTGCCCATGTTCGTGCCACGCTCCAACGCCTATCGAAGCGTTCGCCTGTCACGCGTAGATTTCGCATGTAAATCTTGTCGCATTAATCCGCCGGCCTTAACGGCAATTTTTGTTGTTAACGTTGTCGTTGCTTGAAAAAGTGCAACACGCCCACGGGCACACACTCATATACATATATATATACATATATATATACATATATATATATATATATATATTCCGGCATATGCTCGTGCGGAGAGTACGAAAATGAAATTTAATTTTAATGCACTTAACACATTTTTCACTTAGCTGGAAAATTTATATGAATACTCGAATTCACATTTTCTGCCGGAATTTTTTTTTTTATATAGCACACACGCGTTTTTGCCGCCCATAATTACAAATTGATTTTTTTAATGATAATGTAAGGCAGTTGTAGCTGGTTCTTTCTTGCATACCCTGTAATAGAGAAGAGAGTATAGTATAAGTAAAAATTCATAAATACTTATGAGTAAACATACATTTGATCTAGGTACGCATGAGTATATATGCATATATGGAGTGAGTACTTTCGAGTACTCATGTACACAAGTAGGCGTGTGAGTAGGAGAATATATACTTCATGTAGTTTTAATTGTAAGTTTATTTTAAATATATAGATATTGTTTGGGTACATTTGAGTATATTTACTGTAAGGAAACATAAGATTTCGGAACCTCAACAACACAGAACAGGGTATCTGCTAGCCGAGGAAGTGCTATTTTTTATTTGGTAGGTTCTTGGGCTCATTAAGCACTTTGGGCAACAGTGATTAACACAAGCTGTTGCAGATACCCTCAAGCAGATAAAACCAGAAACGAAAAAAATTGAGCGCTAAAAAATGTGTAAAATGGGTGAATAACGCGTTTTTAAAGGCAGCAAAAGAAGTGAAAAATAAATGAAAAACATTTGAAAGAGTTAAACGCCTTCAACATTAAATTATTAGGGTATTTTTATTTGCAGAGACCATAAAAAGTATAATTGCAGTAAATATGAAGGGTAAGCAAAGAATAGTTAATTAAATTTAAAACTTTGAGACTTCATGTATAAAACTTCAAACACTTCTTAAAACTCTTTAATTGACTCCATTTCATTAGGTTATGCATTAGCTGCAATCGTTTAATGCTCCCAATAACAATAATGAAGCACTCTTCCTCTCACACTCTCACTAATATGGCATTAAAATATTCAATTAAATATCAAACAGCTTTACGTTATTTAATTACTTTTCATTGTATTTATATGCTTTTACTTTCGCACTTTTCCCAGAATTTGCGCCATTGTTACCAGGACTGCAACAACAAGCCCAAGTGGCATACAAAGAGAACAGCTTTATCTATTGAACAGAGTAAGAGTCCTGAAATTACAGACATATTGAAGTTTTCAATACTCTCAATTGCCCTTATATTTACCTTTCTTTGTTGGCTGCTCGTTTATAACAAATAAGATTTCCTTAAATTATGTTTCTTATTTACGGGGTATTATAAATGAAATGTAGGGAATATTGCATCGCATACAAACTATTCAAGCTTCTAAAACACAATAAGCTCTGCCTAATATTATTTCAAGTTGGTTTTCTTGAAACTAATTACAGATGTTTATATTTCAGGCTTTTTAGTAGGAGGTAAGTGTAAAAAGATATGCTCGATTTTTTATCCAGCAATCCAAAAAGTATCTTATGCAAAAAAGATAAAAAGGAGAAAAATAAAAATTTTAATAATATATAACTATAATGTTAGCAAAAAGTTTGCCTACTTTTCTTCAAACACCGCAATATGCTATTAGATTTGTATTAAGATCAGTTAACTATAAAAGTTCTGCTGAGAATACAAATTTTAACATATATTAGGGTATTTAGTCTTTAACAGCTCACATTAAGCTTGGTTTTTGTTTGTTTTCTTTGCCGCAATTGTCCAAGTTACGCACATTAATGTCAGGACAACGGGCTTGGCGTATATACAAATATATATATATATATATGTGTGTAGTATGTATTGTACGCATTGTTGTTGTGTGCGCGAGCGGGTCACAGTCAAGTGGTTGTCTGTCTCCACTCAAGTGTCAGGGTTGTCCTCGTCATGAGGCTGGCAAGCGGCCAAGTGACGTGAAGCTAGTTGAATGACATTGTGCGTGTGTGTGTGTGGTAGTGTGTGTGCCATTTTCACTTCCACTTGCCCGTTCCGCATTCTGCATTGTTACACACGTACATGAATGTACAGAGGCTTCCTTACTTGTTGGCTAGCAGTGTGAATCCTGCGTCTAGTCGTAAATTTTCCTGGGACACATTCAGTCTTGAACATCATCCTGGTCAGCTGCTGATTAACAATTCTCATCTGCTTGTTCTTCTTTTTGCTACTTGTATATTTACTCAAAGTGCCTAACATGTGTCTTACTTATAATCTCGAAGTAAGCTACAATTATAATAATTTAGTTGGAGCTATAAAAAAAATACCTCTATTCAATAATCTAAAAATAGTTTTGATAATTTATAAAATATAACAAAATTTATAATTAGAATTATAAGTATAGCAAAATAAAAAGCCCAACTTCCTATGTATCAATTTTTACTTTTGTGAAAGAAGTGTTATATAGAGATACTTTAATTACCTATTTTAAAATTCATTGATTATAATAATTGAAATGGAACATTTCCAAACAAATATTGTTCGCAATGCAGACAATAATTATGTCAGATCCAAGCAAATGTTCAGGTAATATTTTAATTGTATTTGTTTCATTATAAAGTATTATTCAGTTTATGGTAACCGAGAGCATTTAATTGTGATCAACCCCCGAAATAAGTGGCCCCTTTTATCCGGCAAATATATTGATAGATGAGCTCAAGCACTTGGCACTTTTCATTGCCATCTTCCGTTGATATTTGAACTGGAAACTGGAAACTGAAAGCAGCTCTTTGCCTTTGAGTTAGGTTTAAAGTGCCTGCCTCACATTTTCTCCGCACTTCGGCGCAAGCTTGCAAGAAATTTTCTCAGGCTCCGGGCTTATGTTACAACTCTTAGTCAAAGTTTGAAGTGCAATGCTAAAATGTTCACACAGTTGTGTTTAAGATGACTGCGAAGTTTGTCTGAATTAATGCTCAGTGTATTTAAATTGTGCTCTTAACTGACTAAAATAATTTCCCAATAATAGAACCGAAGTAGGCTCCGAAAATTTATTCTAAACGATTCTGGCCCAGCTACCAGACCCAATACAAATAATCCTCATTCTGCTTCTAAACTTGTCCAGTAAAAGACTATAGATTTTTTTGTGTTATTGTGAGTTTTTCATAAAAAAATTGAAAATTATATTTATTTTTTTAAATATTGAAAATTATTTAATTTTCTTATATAACCACAGGTTTCTTGTAACTGAAAACAGCGACTGCATTGGATTCCAGAATCTTGAAATCCGGAATAAAGTTTTCTGTAAGCCAATCTGCAGTCGTGAACTCCCATCTTAGTACCTATTTCCGTGAAGAAGTTCAACTAAACGTGAGTACTAAAATGTAACTCGCTATTTTGTCTAATATCCATCTTCTACTCTGCAGTCCCTGTCAAAATGTGCTGCGGACCTTGCTACCCGTGCTGCGGACCCTGCGGAGGATGCTGCGGACCTTGCGGACCCTGCGGTGGCTGTTGTGGACCTTGCGGTAGTTGCTGCGGTCCCTGTGGCGGCTGTTGTGGACCTTGCGGAGGATGCTGCGGACCTTGCGGACCTTGCTGTGGTGGCTGTGGTCCCTGCTGTTAGAAACATCTTCAGAACGAAACTTAGGTACTAACCAGCATTCGGTACAAAAAGCAACAGCAAGTCCCATGTAATAGTATATAAATAAAACGAACAAATTAAAAATCTTTGGTTGCCATATACTACTCAAGCAGGCTTCTCTATTCTATCTGCTAGCATTTCCTTAGCTTTAGGCTCTCATAATGTCACAAAATTGGCTATGAAAAGAGGCATAGCTGGCCAGACGGGCAAATAAAATGCCTCCATCGTGTCGGTGATACTATTAGAAGATTGTATATTCTATTAAGGCATTCAGCATTTAATTTTCAATTTGCTGTATTAAATAATTAGGAAGACTCTCGTTTTTGTCGACCATTAATAAATAAAAAAATAAATGAAATAAATAAATTGATAATATTTACACATATAAATAAATATCTATGTGCTTATAAGAAATTTCCTTTCATACATTTATCACTAACTTGGAAGAGTTATCAAAATGGGCTTAATTACTAATTGCAACATTTTCATTCTTCAGCAGCCGGCATCACAATCATTGAAAACAGTATATTTTGAAATATCTTCTGTCAGCTAAGTGATTGGTCCGCTGTTAATAAGATTTTGCATATATATGAGGATCTTAGTAGAACTAATAAATGCCAAATTTGGTCAAAATATCTTGATAAACACAAAACGTAACATTTGACTATGGCAGCTATATAATAAAGATGTCCAATCTGACCGGTTCCATATTAACTGCCTGCAACAGAAAGGCAGATCTATACAAAGTTTGAGGACGATAGCTTTAAAACTTAGGAGCTACTCCGTATTGAATGAAAAAGACCGAAAGACGGACAGAGGTCATGGATATATCTACTCAACTGTTGATTCTGATCTAGAATATATATACAATTTAAGGACTTGGCAAAGTCGTTAGGCGAAGACTAAAACTCAAAGTTGGCTCTGACAACGATTCTGGCCTAGCTAGCAAACACAATACAAATAAACCTCACTCAGCTTCTAGCACTTGTCCAGTTGACTAGATTTTTGTGTAACTAGATTTTGTGTAAATTTTATGGGAATGTAAGCTTTGATATTCTAATAAAAAAATTAAAATTTATAAAAATCAGTTGATTTTGAGCTTAAAATTAAATAATCTTTATCTTATGCAACAGGTTGAAGTCTTTTCTGTAACAGAACACGTCGACTGCTTTGGGTTCCAGGAACTTGATATCCGGACTAGTTTTCTGAAAACCAATCGGCGGTCGATAAATAACATTCTAGTACCTATTTCTGTGAGGAAGTTCAAATAAACGTGAGTACTCAAATATTCCCCACTATTTGAACTAATATCCATCTTCTGCTCTGCAGTCTCTGTCAAAATGTGCTGCGGCCCTTGCTACTCGTGTTGCGGACCCTGCGGAGGTTGCTGTGGACCTTGCGGTGGTTGCTGCGGACCCTGCGGTGGTTGCTACGGAGGGTGCTATGGCTGTTGTGGACCTTGCGGAGGGTGCTGCGGAGGCTGCTGCGGTGGCTGTGGTCCCTGCTGTTAGACCCGTCTTCAGAACGAAATCTAGGCACTAACTTTTGTTACAAAAAGTCACGGCAAACCCTATGTACATATTTGTTTATCAAATTATATAGTAATAGAAATATATAAATAAAGTGAAGCCTTTTTAAAAAATAGTATCTTTTACTGAGCAGAACGTAAAATAAAATAAGACCCAAAATACATTTGTTAGCCGTAAAACGGATTTGCAAACAAAATAAAGTTTATTCAAACTGAGTAATGCAGGCTCTACGCGTGCCAATATTTCTAAGCCAATCAAATTTAACAGTGAATGGTTTATGCAGTTCTGCAAATTATCTTTGTTCATATTTCGCATCATTTTCTTCGTATATTTTATTTATGTGAACGAAATCTTAAGGACCAATCTGCATAGCTTGAATGTGTCCACAAACTTTTTTGAAAATTTCGTTTTCCATTCTTTTTTTTTTGTTTTGAAAAATTTGTGAACTATCAAATATTGTAACATTCCCAAGCATTGTAAACTACAAAATATTGTGACACCACGTACAATTTTTGATAATTCTTGCCAATATTCCTGAGCTCAGATTTTACAGTGATGTCAATCCAGTTCTGCAAACTATCTTTGTTCATATTTCGCATCATTTTCTTCGTTTATTTTATTTATGTGAACGAAATCTTAAGGGCCCATCTTCATGCAAGTATATACGTGATCTTGAGGTCGAATAAAAAATGGGCGTTCCTCGATCCAATTAAGGTGAACTTTGCGAAGGCGTGTCACATAGGTTCTAATAAAGATCTTTGAAAATGAGTTTGGAGCCAATAGTACACCAAAAAATTAACTTAAGTATTTTCGCCAATTTTCCACAGTTGCAGATGGAATTTTCAAATCGCTGAAACACGTACTCATTATGCTTTGAAAATAAGTTGGATGCAAGTCAAACATAAAACAACATTTCGGCCAAGTTTCCATATATATAAATGTTCCTCCTCGAAACGATTGTGAAGAAGCGTATTTACACTGGTCAATGGGGAAATGAAATAAGCCAAATTTTAAGTGGACTTATCTTTAAGAGATGATTCTAATTTTAGAGCGAAAGACATTTGAAGTGCGCTGGCCACAAAAAGAGGAAAGTTGAAAATTCGCTAGCATATATAACATATAGAACATAATGTTACAAAGTAAAGACCACAGTAGGCTCCGACAATTCAATATGAATGAGTCGGGCCTTGTTAGCAGACCCAATAGAAATAAACCCCATTCAGCTTCCCAGATTTGTCCAGTTAATAGCTCTAGATTTTATTTGTGTTTTTTTTTTTTTTGTAAATTCTTGGGAATGTAAGTTTTGAGCATCTCGACGGAATAACAAATTTTGTGATTGCATTTACAATTAAACTAATACTTTTGTTATTCGATTACAGGTTGAAGTCTTTCTTGTAGCAAAAAGCACTGACTGCATTGAATCTGTTTTACAACCGAACTAAATAGTTTTCTGAAAGCCAATTAGCTGTCGGACTTAACCATCACAGTACCTTTTTCCGTGAAGCAGTTCAACTAAACGTGAGTACTAAAATGTAACTCGCTGTTTTGTCCAATATCTACTACTCTGCAGCTCCTGTCAAAATGTGCTGCGGACCTTGCTACTCGTGCTGCGGACCCTGCGGAGGATGCTGCGGACCTTGCGGACCCTGCAGTGGCTGTTGTGGACCTTGCGGACCCTGTGGTGGCTGTTGTGGACCTTGCGGAGGATGCTGCGGACCTTGCGGACCCTGTTGTGGTGGCTGTGGTCCCTGCTGTTAGAAACATCTTCAGAACGAAACCTAGGTACTAGCCAATATTCGGTACAAAAAGCTACAGCAAACCCTTTGTATTGTTTTTCTTTCATATAGTAAGCATAAATAAAATGGAATACTGATTTATTAAAATTAGAAATGGTTCGATCTCAATGTGCCGTAGCTTAGCTTTTCGCTCGTATCTTTGAAAATGAAATAAATGTAGCCTGTTGGTCTTACGCTAAAAATTCGTATTAAATTAGGCTTAAATCTACAACCAATTAAATAATACAGTAGATCAAAAAGAACCTCCCAATAAACTTTGGAAATTGTATAAATGCTTCTGAGATATGCTTTAAATATAAATATGAAACTAGATACTCATTGTATACATTTTAAGTTCATCGAGTTCTTAGTATCAGAATCGTCGTGTATAGACAGATATGTTATATGGGGACACATATACTTCTTGCTGCGTGCTACATTTGCTCAAGAACATTTCCCATTTTCGTGGATTTGGAAGACATGGTCCACAAACGATAATCAAGGCGGTTCTTAGCTTATATAGCAATCATTTTTTAGGTGTGCCCAATAATATTCACTGTACTATAGGGCTTGTTGTCGTATCAAAGTTGGCTATGATAAATTAACTTCTGACGCTTTTAGTGTGTTTTTTAGACAACATTCATTTCCCTTTTTAGGCTTGTCCACTTAGCATCTATATTTTATTGTAGTTTATTTTCCAAATTACCGGAATGTAAGTGTTAAAAGTAGAAAATTGAAGAAAAATAATATATTCTTTTCAAATACAGGTTGAAACTTTTTCAATAAAAAGAAAGCATCGACTGCTTTGGGTTCCAGCAGCTGGAAAACCGAACAAAACCGTTTTCTGAAAGCCAATCAGCGGTCGATATTTACCAACTCGGTATCTATTTCCGTGAAGAAGTTCAATTTAAAGTAGGGGAATTTCGCCTGACATAATCTACGATCTACTCTACAGTCAGCATGTGCTCTCCGTGCTACTCGTGCAACTATTCCTGCACCACGCCCTGCAATGGTTGCTGCTCTGGATGTTGTGGCTGTAACGGCAATTGCGGGGGCGGAGGCTGCTCCGCCGCCTGCTTCTGCTATCCTAACTGTGGCGGATGTGGACCCTGCTGTTAAGAACCTATTCAGAATAAAATTTTGATGCTATATCTAATAGTTTGATGTTAACTGTTGAAAGGATTAAGTTGATTTTATTGATTTATAATCAGCTTTTATTGCAAATGGGACAAGGCATATTCGACCCCAATAATAGATTCTCGATCAGATAACCAAGCACAGAACCATGTGTATCTGTCCTTGCGATCGCTCTTAACCGGAGCTAATCTGCAAGGTTAAACTCTCGGTCAGCATAAACAGACTTTTAAAGTATGATTCATGAAAGAAATATGTGAGCCATAGTAGAGCGTACATCCAATGCCCTTGCCAGATGACATTGAATCCTTAATAAGGATTTGATTGAGCGGAGCATATAAAGGGATTCTTCAGATTATGTGCAGTTTGGTCAGAAAAAGATGTTGGGAGAAACCCTTAATCCTCTCTCCATTTTTAATGGGCTTAGCTGATCGGACGGAACTTTATAGAACCAATTGCCAATTGTTCTATAAAGGAAGCGTTTTTATAATAGCAAAATTTTCAGCGGAATTCAGTTTACAACAACAACAACAATTTTGGTTTAGCTACTTACCTAGCAATAATTCAAGGTGAGTTGAAAGCAATCTGAAAAAGGAAAATTGAGTTAAAGTGAATTGTATTTTATGTTTTTAAATAGGTTAGTGTTTCATATAACAAGAAAAATAAAGAGTGTTGGGTTTGTAATCTCCGAAAAATAACCTAATATCCGTGAAGAAGTTCAAATAGAAGTATATACTCTGTTTCTTCACCTAAATTGGAACTACGTTAATCATCCTTTGACGTTATTCATCCTTTTTCAAGAACAAAATCTAGGCACTACACATAAAGTGCAACCTATAACCCACATTTTATATACTTCCGATGTATGTATATGTAATAAAAAGAATTGTATATAAATCAAATGTATGTGCGTGCATCCATTAAATGGAAAAGACTGTACTGGAAATGGGAAGAGATTTTTGATGCACGTAATTGCTAAACTTGTAGATTATTCCTATATTATGACTGCTATATATTGGTATATATTATTGGTAGAGCTCTTAAATGCCAAATTTCGATAAGATTTGTTCAACAAAGCTCGATACGACTTGGCCCATATATAAGCAGCACGGGTTAAATAGTAAATGGGGTTGACCAAAATATCTTGATATACTAGTCTGATCCGACCGGATATGCAAAGTTGCAATTGTAAAGATTTAAGATAGGGAGACTAGTCTGTATTGAAATAGACTAACGTGTCGGACTATATAAACTAGACTGTTGATATTGATTAAGAATATATAGACTTTATATTCCATTATATTCCGATTGACATTCCATGATATATTCTGGCTCGGAATTGATGCCTCGCGTTCCAGTGTGCGAACCGCTGCATTGACAAGTTTTTGGGCCTATCGACATGATTGTTATACATTTTGGGCCAGAAGAATCCTTCCGATTTTATGTGTATTTGGAGCAAAGTAGCCTTAGAGCCTCTTATCTCTAGTAATTTTGTTTATGCTCCTGGGACAGCTCGGAGCTCACTCAATTTTTGAGGCTTGTCCAGTTAATATCTCATCTTTCTTTCTGTACTTTAATGTGAAGTTTTTGGGAATGTAAGTTTACAAAAGAGCAAATATATTTTCTTGAAGTAGCTTTCATTTTATTTTTCTATAAAAGGTTGAAGTTCTTTCCGCAACAGGAAAACGGCAACCGTGCTTGAACACCCGCAGCAAAGAAATTAGCTCGATAAGATTTCGTATGCAACGGAACGGTCGCTCAATTCCCAAAGAACACCTATTTCTGTGAAGTGTTATTCAGGGTAGAAATCCTCCTAGTTTTACTGGAACTCTCATTAAAAAAAACCCACCCATCTACAGCCTATTCTATCAACATGTGCTGCAAACGCTACCCGTGCTGCGGCGGCTGCGCCTCCCCGTGCTGCTACCCCCCGCGCCTATGTTGCGGCGGATGTGGTCCTTGCTGTGGAGCGGGACCTTGCTGTGGCTCCTGTTGCGGGGGCTGTGGACCCTGCTGCGGACCCTGCTGTGGCGGCTGCGGACCCTGCTGCTAGAAAAAGTCTTCAGAACGAAATCTAGGTGCACCACATTCAGTACAAAATGCCTTCCGTAAATGTGTTTGTAAATTCTCAGTAATGAAATAAAAATTAAATTATTTATAAAAAGAGTTTGTCCTGGGAGGCCGATGATAGCTAGACATTTGCCTTATGATATTGCAAAAAACATTAAATCTTTTGTATACCTACTTTTCGACCGATCGTTTCTATGGCAGCTATACAAAAGTATCACGATGTTGGGATTTTTCAGTTTGGACAAGATATCTTGATAAACAATATGTTTTTCATGCAACAACTTAATTTTCGACCGATTGTTCCTATATGATATAGTGGTCCGATCTTAATAGGATTTTGCATATATATGAGGAATATAGTAAAACTAATAAATGCCGAGTTTGGTCAAGATATCTTGATAAACAAAAAAGTTCCATACAAGAGCCTAATTCTCGACCGATATATGTTAGTGATCCGATCCGGCCGACATATGGACATATGGGCTGCGTACAACAGGAATTTGGAGTTTCAAGTCGATATTAAAAATTGCACGTTCTATAAAAAAAATTAGGCCCATTTTTAAAGATCATTGTAAAAATATGGAAATTTGAGCTTTAAGATTGCGTTGGCGAATATAAAGGAATAAATGAGAAAGCAATTGCAATTGCAATTGCAATTCCACTCATGGTGGTATATGAGGAAAATATATAAATCTTTATAATATAACGAAAAATACTTTGCCGATATCGACTATATCGTAGAAAGTCTCCAAAAAGATCGATTGAAAATTATCCTAAAATCATCGAGCTTTAACAAATAAGAACAAAAGCAGGCCATGATATACTAACTACAACGATTCGGCCTAACCTAACCAGACCCCATACAAGAAACACTCATTCTTGCTTTTGGGCTTGTCCAGTATTTGCTTTTTTATGTAAATTTTTGTGAATTTTACGGGAATGTGAGTTGTAAAAGTATTTTAAAAGAAAAGTTATTCAATTTTTTAATTCAACTACAGGTTGATGTTATTTCTGTAATAAGACGACGACGATTTCATTGGTTTTCGAGAATTTGAGAAAAAGATCTTTGAAAACCAATTGACGTTCGCCTAAACCCCAAACAGTGCCTATTTCCGTGAAGAAGTTCAAATAACCGTAAGTAAATGCTTTCCAACGTTGCTTCAAGTGGAACTAACGGATCTTCGCAGACTCTCTTTTAACATGTGCTATCCGTGCTATTCGTGCTGCGGCCCTTGCGGCGGCTGCTGTTCCCCATGCGGCGGATGCTGCTATCCCTCTTGCTACTGTGGTCCATGCTGGTCGTGTTGTGGTGGTTGTGGACCATGTTGTGGTGACTGTGGACCCTGCTGTTAGCACTTCTTCAGAACGAAATTTAGGCCCTGCTCAAACTGTTTGTACAAAGTAACCAACATGCCCAATGTAAATTCATGTATTCCTACACATGCATACGATAACTATGTATAAATATATGGAATCACGTCTAATAGTGTTCGGTTGTGGCGCCATCTTGGTTTTACCGTTTTAAGTTAAAATGTGTAATTACGAAATGGTGGTTGTCTGGGGTTGCAAACGCGTCGCTTCAGAAATTATGCTGCAGGTGGCGAATATTTACATGGTCCCGAGACCAGGCACGCGAGTGTTTAAGTAAATCGATACTTATAGTTTCACATTAAACGCACGAATAGTTTCCTTAAGCACTTGATTTTTGGTAACTACGTTTTGTTTTTCACCTTACTTTATTATACATTACCAGCCGACTTAATGCCAAGCGTAACAGTGCCATTCTGAGCGCGACAGTGCCATTTTGAGTATAATCAGCATTCTAACAGAAAATGTTAATTTTAAGCCTAACAGTCTGCTGGTAGGCATTTGATTGAGCCCAGTATGCAGCACATGATTAACGTTGCGAATTTTATATTAAATCACTAACCGATTAATGTAAATCAGAAGGTGTTCTCTATCGAAGTAAAATTTGATGTGATTAATCTGTAGACCTGTGCATTCCGCGTGCTTTTAAATGGGGCCTTGATACATTCTCACAAATGAATTTCAAACTTAACAGCGTAAATTGTAACAGGCCCACTTGAGTATAACATAATGCCCTCATGTCTAAGCACATTAACATAACGTGTTAGCATTAACAATCTTACAAGCGGACGGTGAAGTCGCGTTTTGGGTGCGTTTTAATTTGCATAATGTTTGTGTGTGTGTGTTAATGCCTAAAAGTTTAAAATAATAAGCATAAATACGCTAAAACCTAAAACAATCCGATGAATAGCTAATATTTGCTTCAGTCGAAATACTGAAGTCACTCGCTGATTGGTTGCCGCGTTCGGTCGTGGGTGGCACTTTTCGTGGCTCTATTGTACAATTCATATGTATTTCGTGTGAGATTGAAACCAAAGCGAAACGCGTTTAATTTAATAAAAGTAGCTGAAACATATTAATATTAATATATATTTATGAAAGCGACGCGAGCGTCGCAATAACAAAAACAACTGCTCTCAGAAGCAGTAGCATCGTGTGTACATGTGTTTGTGCCTATGTGTGCGTGTGTGCTTGGGTCTTTCTATGCATGCGTGTATGTGTGTGTGTGTGTGATGCGTCTTTTCACCACAAAAATGTTAATATAAGTGCTGAAATTTTGAGAGAAAATATTACAATAACAAAAAGCTTGCCACAACAATACACAAACACTTGCAAAGGCTGCAGAACCTGTGCTGAGAGCGCGGCGAGAAGTGCTTTAATGCTTTTTCTCAGTGAAAAAGTGACAGATTAAAACAAATGTATACTAAATTTGCAAAATTCTTGTGCTTTCAATTAAAACAATGAACATTTAGAAAACAAAAGGCAACTGCAACAATAACAACAACACTGCCTAATACGACGCCCTGTCGTTTATCTTTGTATTGGTGAGCGACGGCGCCGTTGATGTTCGATTTTTTTTTTGTTGTGCTCATTGAGAGAAAATTCGTTCTGCTGTTGTTGTTGTTGGTGCTCCTTATCTTATTTTATTTTTGTTGCTTTGCTCGAAAAAAGTCTTTAGTTTGTGTTTGCGCGCGTGTTTTAATATAAAAAAAAAAATTTGTTTCTTTGCCGCATGCCAACAGCTGCTCGTGACGTCGACAACAACATCCACAGCGTAAATTGTAAAAAATTTGCAATACCAACATTTCGCGAGGTGAGTTTCATATATTGCTGTATTGTAAGAGATGTTGCTTTCTTATATCCGATTTTAACGATAACATGATTGTTCTTGCTGCTGTGCAGTCATCGATTATCGATAAATGCGCTGCTGCAACTAACATTTGTGCAAATCTTGCTTAACAGCTGCTGCGAACAGCTGTTTAATATGCAGGTGTAGGAATTGAGAACTTTGCTTTTCTCCTAAGAAAAGTAGTTTTAATGAAAAACAGACGTAAGATGCAAAGCAACAAACGCTGTGCAATTATATGAACGTTATTTCAACTCTCCTAGTTGGCCACATACTTGCAGATTAGCTTTCTTGGAAATTGTTCAAAGGCAAAAATGTTAAAAATGTTAGCAAAATGTTGGGTTGGAATTTAAGGTATTCTCAATTGAAGAAATTCAATAAATATGCACGAGAATATTGAATAACGACAGTTATTTTCGACAAATGTTTTAATATCGAACCTCAACTTTTTTTTTCCTTTATTTTTTGAATTTTGCTTTTTAACATAGTCTTCATCTCCGTGAAAGTGCGCGTATGCACATGGAGAATATACTCCACACTAATATATACGTACCTATGTATGTATACTCCAGCCTGTTACGTAGACTAGCTCAATTTTGTCATGCCCCCTTAACCCGTCTGTAATGGGTATTGGGCATTAACATGATTTGAATGGAGCTCAAGAGACGAGCGAATGTTCTGTTTGCCGCGCGTGTAGCTATGCCAAAGGTGTATATCTGTCTGTGTATGTAGTTGCTTGCGTGTGTGTGTGTGTGTGTGTCTGTATTTTGTTGATTATAAATTTGGCTTTTATTATTTTTTGTATCCCCACATTCTGCGCAATTCAAGTTCAAAGCATTCCGTTCAAACGCTGACAGAAGTTTTCAGCATTCGATTTACTGTTTATGAAAACTACGTAAATATGTATCTAGAAAATATTCCGAGCATAGAAATTTAACATAAATTCATTTAATATGTAGATGTATCTACAAACTATACAATTCGAGTGAAATTTATTTGAGATTTTGCTTTCTACACATTGTTTAAACAGAAGAGGAAAAAAACTTTTCATTCGCATTTGTTTCAGACAAACAAACAATATCTAAACTGCGAGATAAATGCGTGGGCTATTTCATTATTTCAGTCTTATGATAATTGCTTTCTATCGTGCGAATGAGTGGCTTTCAGTTTGGCGATTTGGCCGAAAGGCCCCGAAAAAATAATCATAATAGTTAAAAAGAAGGCTAAACAAACGTAAGGCAAAGGCGAAACAAATCAGTCCACTTGAAAGGTATTTAATAAATTCATGCACATCAATCTGAGCTTAATAACAATTGAAATTAGCAAATAATGCACAAAATGTGAACTAATTCAAATATGTTGCAACAACGAGCTAAATTGTAGAAAAGAGCTTTTATTGCTAGAGAATTTCCAGCAGGTAGAAGCTACAGCTTATATAGTTGGCCTTACAGGGTATTTTGTAGGTCTGGCACACTCTACTGTTACGTTCTTACATGTTTTTTAAGCAAAACCTTGTTGAACTCGTTCCGCAAGTTCAGTGCTCTTTTTAGTTGCCTTCTCACTCTTCTTCTTTTCACATCTCACTCCTGGCGTCTGCCCTGAGAATTGGGCTGTGTGCCTCTAACTGAACCCCGTCCCTTGCCTATCCACCCCTCCCCCCCTCTATCTGCTCGACGCTATCTGCATAGAGGAACTGAGCTTTGTGCTCGCAAATGTATCTGTATCTGTATATTGCTAGTCGTGTATCTGTATCTGTGACTGTGACTGCAATTAGGCAAATAAATTGCGCAAGCTGCCGGCCAGGCCCACAAATTGATCTCTTCCGGCCGTAAAAAAGCAACGAGCTGTACGGAACACGATACAAAGGTAAATCCCAGACTAAAGGCCAACCCATTAGCTAAGCAGCTGTCAAAGTTGAACTCTCTCTCTCTCTCTCGAGGTCAATCAGGATCTCAGAGAGTCTCTCTCTCTCTCTCTCTCATTCTCTCTTTGCAAGTGCAAAAGTTGTTATTTAATTGAATGTATCCTCATTAAATTCAGCTTCCAAATAAACTCATTCACACTGATTTGATTACAGCCCGCACTTGGCGACAGTTTCAAATTGAAAAAATACATAGATAGACAGATATGCATACATCTAAATATAATATAAATGTGTATGTATATTCATTTTCAACATTCAATTGAATGCTCATTTCGAGCTCAGCTGCGCAGCCTGCAGCCACAATTCGGGCTGCTTATTTGTTATTTTTTTAGCCACTTATTTTTATGTGGGGCTAAACTGAAGGCAGACAGCAGATTTTAGATTGGCCCAAAAGCCAGGATAAGCATTTCAGCCTGGCTGTGTGTGTGTGTGTGTGTGTGTGTGTGCGTAGGCAGGCTAAAAAATAACAATTTATTGCAAGTACATTATGTACTCGTGGGTACAGTAGTCTCTCGGAGACGAGAACTTTTTGATCTACAATTTTATCGAAGCTTTGAATATGCATTTAAAGACCTGATATATTTTATTAATATTTATTTAAATTAATAAAAAATTAATGAACAAGCTTAATTTAGCATTAAAAACTCTGGAATCGAAGCGTTCTATGTTAATAAATACTTGTTGTTGTGTTATTTATTTTGTCATTGTTTCTAAGAAACAATAATATGCTTATGCAGCTGTTTTTTTTTTCTTTTTTTATAATAACAAATAAACGTAAATCTGTTTAAATATTTGACTGCAATATGGTTTAGCTAAGAATAATAAAATTAGCTAAGAATTAAAAATTATTTACTATTTAAAAAAAAATTGCCACTGCTTAAATTATTTATATGTTAATCAAATCCCAAGTTTGATCGAAATTTAGATTTTATTAGAATTTGAGCTATTGAAGAAATTCCTGCATTCGTTCACTGTAAAAGTACTTTGAATTATTCTGAAAATTTATTAATAAAAAACAAATAACAAAAAGAAAAAAATAAAAATAAGCAAAGGTTTTTTAAAACATTTAATATTTTGTTTGTTTTTTTTTTAACAATAAATAAATTATAAATTTCGCGCATGAAAATCGTCGCTGTAATTGAAAGTTTCTCATAAGCGAGAGACTACTGTATGTCCTTTAAAAAATCTTCACATTGAACTGTTAAGCATTTCGTTTTAATATAAAACCTTTTGAATACTCCAAATATATAAAGAAATATAATCATATAATTTAAACTAAAATAATTTGCTCAAAATATTAAAATAATATTTATGTAATTGAGACAAAAACTTAGACGTTCTTAAAG